CAGGCTTTTGTTTGTTTTTGGGTGTACAATCCACAGTGATTGTGAATATAGTGTTATTTTCATGGCCATTGCTGCAGTTCATCAAATGTCAACTCCTGCTAGGTATATACTTGATACGCACATTAGGTGTGCTGAAGACAACAGCTATTTATTGCATTTGGACTTAACTTTGGTTCTGGTTTGAGGGATGTCCTAGGGTTGTAGGAGAAGAAGCTGTGTCAGCATGAAAAGATGGGTGGTTTGAAGAAACATTGCTGTGCATCTAAGGTAAGTGTATACAGTTCTAAGCTTCCTTTCCAGCTGTATTTTCACAAAATTGCCTGTAATTGACACTCCCATGAGCTTCAGTGCTCTCCATCTGGAGCTAAGAGCCACTCTGAGATTAGACATCCCTTTCCAGCTTTGAAAACATCAAAGCAACCATATCCAGCCTAATCTTGACAATGAAGAGCCCACAAATGCTTTTGGGCTGCTAATAGAAAATGGCTTTTGGATAAGAAGATTTGATCCGTGTGGCAAAGCACTTTTAGGGTCTTGTGTAAAACTAAAATGGGTTTGTACAGAAATAATGCAATATAATGATGCTTTTTAAAAAAAAATCTAGTAAATTCCAGAGAATGGCCAGATTTTGGAACTCAAACAGCTGCCTTTTTAATGTTCCACTTGTTCACTCTTTGTACCTCACTGCCTCCTATCTTTAAACCTCCACTTTAGTCTCTAAAGGCCTGTACGTGGTCATGAGGTGGGAGCAACTGCTTCACTGTGATCACCCACACACAAGCATTCCTAAAAAATTCTGGAAGGGATTCTTTTTAAAGCTTCTGTTTACCAGAGTTCTCCCTCTTGGGTGCAGACATACACGGCTTATTAACAATGAAATCCCAGCGTGTGTGATTCTTGTATTTCGGGGATGCAGGCAGAACCAGTTTTCTTGCCTAGCAGGCCAGAAGGTGGGGTAACCAATTGGGGTAAGTCTAGTAGGCAGGAGCCAGCATGGCTGTGCAGAGAGCAGTTGGTAGAGGCACAGCCCCTGCCAGGCACAGGCTGCCTCTACTGGCCACCTTCAAGCAATCACCTCCCTAACAAGGACCCCATATAGAATCCTCTAAAAGTAGACTCTTTTTTTTTTTTTAAATGGTGAAGGAAGGAGAGCCTAAAAGTTCAAGGGACATCAGAACTCACATAGCCATTTATGAGTACAATTAGGAGCCGTTCAGCCCCTTCTGACTCCTGGAGTGGTAGATAGAAAGGGCAATTCTTTTATATGTATGTGTGTAGTCATTCTGTAAAACAGAGTAGCTTGATTATGTGTTTAAGTGCAGAGGGCTCTTTATAAAACATGCTACTGTGTCCTTTTACTGTGAATAGAAATATAACCTTCACATAAAAGGAGTAAAATAAAGGATAAATTAAACCATTTTATTTAATTTGTTAATTTAATTATTAAACCATTTACCACTCAATGTGCAGATCTAGAACTCGTAATGCAACAATTTCCTCACATAGGAACCATCATACTAACTCAGACCAAAGATTCACTGGGCTCAGGAATTTTCCTCTGATGCTGTGGTAGAGGCTATGCTATCTGATGCACAGCCTTTTGGATGCTAGCATACACACATAAGAAGTGATTCCCTTAGTCTTTTTATGTTTCTATTATAATAAAAATAATTCCACCTTTTCTGCATGGCTTTTTCTCTTTTGTCTTAATTGCCTTTTGGTGCGGTGAATTCCATAATCAGGATAAACCATTTATTGAGCATTTACTGTATGCCAGGCACTGTGGTAGGTGCTATCATATGTGTAATCCATTTATTTATTCCTCTCTGTGACAGAACAAATGCTATAATGCTACAGACCCATCACTGATTCACTTTTTCTGTGCAGTTACGGAAATACTGTAGAGAACTAACAGAGGGAGGTTAGTAAGGAAATGGGAGACTGAGGGATGGGATGCCCTTTCCAGCATGGGAAAGGCAGGACCAGTAAACCTAAAATCTGCATTTTCTACTTTTTCAGGGGAATCAGGTGGAGGTTAGGGGCAGTTGCTGATCCTAGTGGAAAGTACTAGTAAAATGTAAAAATGAAGTGGTATAAAATTAAGCATTAAAACCAGCCCACTTCCTTACGAACACTTTGGGCCTATAAATGGTTGAACATGTGAGTATGTTCTGCATGTTTGTCCATGATAAAGGTGGCAGAATAGAGATTTGACCTGGAGTCTACATTCTTAAAGGGCTCAGTTCTGAGCATATCCTTTCGTCCATTGTCATCTTGTGATGCCTGAGAAATACAAGTCCTCTGTAAAGTCATTCTCCCACCAACAGTATCCTCTTATTTAAATCTGAGGGCTTCCTTTCAAAGATAAATTTAGAAATTTGATCCCTACCCCGGGCTAATCCCATAGATCAGGGACATTTGTTTGAGGATTTTAAAATGTTTAATATCTTAAAAGCTGGTTAAAGGAAGTGTCTGTGATTTACAGATGATGGAATTTGTAACACGTCTTCCTTAGGAAAACCTGAGATGTTATAGGAACAAACTCTGTAGTGAATTTGGAATTTTCTATATAACTGTATTTTAAAAAGAGAAGCTGAGTCTGTACCCTGGGAATGATACCAATGGGAAAAGACTAACTTAGTCTTTGCAGATATTTATTCAGCATGAGATGTCTGGGTTAATTTATGTAAGAGAAGACAGTAATGGAATTAAACACTTAATCTCTACATATCATTTGGCCTTACCATATTTTATTGTTACAACCAAAAACATTTACATTTTCTACCTCTTGTAAAGAACCTGGGAGAGCAAAATTCCCAAGAGTCAGAGAAGAAAGGAGGGAAAAGTGTCTATATAATGGACACTGAGTATTACGTGGTAGACAGAATAAAGTCATACCAAAGGTTTAGTAAGCTAGTAATGAGATTTGCTGTAGACGATTGACCATCCTCAGCCTGCTCTTACTCTCACAAAATCTCAAGGCCCAGGGGAATAACACTTTCTGATATAGGAGCCTTTTCTTCTCCTTTTTCACCTGAGAGTTAAGCCTCCTGGCTCAGCACAGCTTGATGGCTAAAGGTGATGTAGAACGCTGGAGTGTTCTTGGCCCACATTTGTTAGGGACTGTGTCTTCTAAATCACACCTTTTTGTGTTCTGGGAGTAGGGGCTTCTTGCTTAGGACTGATGCCTACTACTTCTCAACTTCCTGTGCAAATAGAACAGTCATCTCTCAGATACTGCAAGCCTATGGTATGAGAAGGGGCCTAAGCCTGCCCTGTGGACACAAGTGGAAATTAAGGGTAGACATAGAAAACAGAGGTCCTGTTTCACCACTAGGTGATGGTGGACCCCACAGAAGTTACCCATCTCCTCCTGCTTCACTTAAAGTTCTCATCTCCCAGAAGTGTCAGGATATTCCAGGTGAGAGACCAGTGGAGAATATCCCTGGAGTTAGTATAATGGCTAAGAAAGTTTAGAGCTGTCAAACAGTTACTTCTAGGAGGGTGTTTGAATTGAGGAATACAAGGAGCAATAGAGTGGACTGAGATCTGAAATTAACATGTAGATGATAATCAGCCAAGATGTCTTTTCACATTAATATGGATACTCTGGCCTGAAATAAACAGAAGGAACATAGAAATGACTCCAGGCTTGAGGAAAAGCAATTTTAGAAGTTATACCCAGCAGAGAATGGACTACAGCAGTTATTCTATGCACAGGGTTCTAAGGTCCCTAGGAGTTCATGAAGATAGCAGTGGGAAAGATGAGCTCATTGTAATATGCGCTTCATTTATGCATTTCATATTACAATGAGCTCATCTTTTTTATTACTACTTTAAAGAAGGCCTTCTAGGCTTATCAAAACACTGAATATCAGTTAGGTGATGTAATACCAGCTACCTCATGCTGTTGAAAAGCCCTACTTGATTGCTGTCATTACCTGGGGGGTTTTGGATGTGATTGATGGACTTTATGGTGTCAACAGGTAGCATGGGTGACCTGAAGTTAGATAATCCAAAACATGATTAATGTTAGACTTGAGTAAAGGGTGACGATCACAATTAAACAGTAGCCCATGGTGGTGGGATGCTTGAGGTCCACTGAGATTAGAGAAGCAATGTGCTGAGCTCTGAAACTCTTATAAACCACAACACTCATTTCTGTCCTTGAAAGAAAGCAAAAGCTGACATCATCAAACCATAGTCAGTTCTCTCTCTTTGAGGCCATGCCCTGGAACCTCTGCATGTGGCTCTTCCTCACAGCCTGCATGGGTGGCCTAAGACTCTACATAGGAACAGGCTTTGTTGTCCTCTCTTTCCTTTTCTAAATGGTGGAATACTGGGAACTAGGGTCAAGTTCCCTTCTTGGGCCCTTAAAGCAAGAGATTAAGTAGCAAAACAAAAGAAAGGAAGGAGCCACAGAACAGACCCAAGTGCGTGAGGTATTTGGAGTCAGTCTGGGAAAGGCTTACCTTAGATTTAGTTGGCTGCCATCTAGCAGTGTTCCAGAGGAGTTGGGTGCTGAGCTTCCACTGGTTGCTGCTGTTTAGGCCATGGCCTCCAAGCCTCACGTTACCACCACCCTTGGTCTGCAGGAGCTCCAGGAAAAGTCAACATTTGCAGCAGCATTCAAAAAAGAAAAAAGTGATAGCCGGGTTCCTCTTAGTTTGATGGACCCACTCAACATTTGATCATGGTTGGCAAAAGATTCTGAAGCTATTGACTACTTGTATTACCCAAGGAAGGAAGGAATTGAGGCTAAATCCACAATTGACATATTTGCTATCTGTCCTTTCAGCTAACTGATTATTTCAGAACTGTGGTGACAGTTTCTATTTTCTGGAGAATTTAGGAAGGGAACTTATCTTTGCACTCATTTGTACGTGCATATCTGAACAACTTTAAGGTTTTTCTGTCACTTTCCTTTGCTGCTTCATGAGTTTCTGTCCATGTGCTTCTTGCACATCCTTACCCACCCCATTTTCCTTTCTCCTTCCCAGAGCCAAGCTATGAGAATTGTTCGGACAGTGGGACAGGCTTTTGAGGTCTGCCACAAGCTGAGCCTGCAGCACACGCAGCAGAATGCAGATGGCCAGGAAGATGGAGAGAGTGAGAAGAACAGCAACAGCTCAGGGGACCCAGGTAGGCACCGTGGCTTCTGCGGATGTGGATGGAGAGGCAGTGCACACAGTAGGCTCCACTGGAGCCCCAGGCTGTGAATTCATTTTAAGAAGCATTTTATGTATTCCATTTTTCTCCAAATTCTAGATTCTCTTTAAGGAACATGTATTACTTTTATAACAGAAATTAAAGATGTTTAAATTATTAAATGATATCAGGGAGAGGTAGAGCTGCTATGCTACCAAATCTGACTTCAAAGAAAATCTCAGTAAAAAAGCACCCCTGTAAAACAAATTAGAAAGAACATAAATGTATAATTACCTAAATAGTTTGTTTTATTAAATTTCTAATTTCTGTAGTTCTATAAGCTCTCAATGTGGATAGTATTTTAATATCCCCAACTTTCAAGCCTCATTAAAAGTCAGGAAGGAGGCTGGGCACCGTGGCTCAGCCTATAATCCTAGCATTTTGGGAGGCTGAGATGGGCGGATCACTTGAGCCCAGAAGTTCAAGACCAGCCTGGCCAACATGGTGAAACTCCATCTCTACCAAAAATACAAAAATTAGCAAGGTGTGGTGGTACACACCTGTAGTCCCAGCTACTTGGAAGGCTGAGGCAGAGAATTGCTTGAACCCAGGAGGTGGAGGTTGCAGTGAGCCAAGATTGTGTCACTGCACTCCACCCTAGGCAACAGAGCTAGACTATCTTAAAAAAAAAAAAGTTCAAGAAGAAGATAAGAATGTTGTATTATTTGACAATAAATGTGAAAAAATGAAGTCTGGGCAAGAAAAAGAGCAGGTAAAAAAATAATATTGTTTATGTTAATTTTTAACATGGGAAACCTAAGAAAATAAACTGAGAACTATTAGAAATAATAAGAGAATTCAGCTAGAAAGTCAGAGTTTAATAACACATAGAGCTATATCTGTGGTTTTAGTATATTCCAAGAACAGCTGGTTAGAAGTCATAGTGGAAGAAAAAAATCCATTAAAATAACAATAAAAAAATAAGATACTTACAAATAATCCCAATAAAAATGTATATGTTTTCTATGAAAAAAATCTTAAACAAATGGAAAGGTATGCCATATTCTTTGATGGGAAAGCTCAACATCATAAAAATGTTAATTCTTCTTTTGTGAATCTGTAAACTTAACATGACAATACAGATTTTTAACAGCAAAGGAGGCGCCACAGTAAACTACAGTGTTCAAAACTCATGGGATATAGCTAAAGCAGTGCTCAGAGGAAAATTCAAAGGTTCAGTTATTTACATTAACAGATGCCAAATCATAAAAGTCAAATTAATTAAGCGCCCAACTCAAAAAGTTCAAAAACAACAAAAGAAACCCTCCTCTGCAAACAGAAAGAAGACCCGGGCCTTGCATTGTAGCTGCAGCAATCACTGCCTGTGTGATCTTGGGCAAGTTCCATAACCTCTCTGTGCTTTAGTTTACTCTTCCAAAAAACAGAAACAGTAGTACTATGTGCTTCAGAATTATTGTCATAATTAGATGAACTGATACTTTTAAAATGCTGAGCCTGGTGCTTGTGCAGAGAATGTACCACATACATATATGCTATTATTTTAAAGTAAATATATGAAAATTAAAAAATAAGAATAGAAAAAATTCTGAAAAAGATGAATGATAGCAGAGGAGGAGTGGCTTTCCTCATAGAAAAAGACATGATAAAGCTATAACAGGTAAAACTGTACTTAAACAATAGGTAAAACTCATGTTCAAATAGGTGCCTGAATAGATCAGAATAGAAACTCATATACAGACCCAGATATGTTTGCAAATTTAGCATATGATAGATGGAGAATCCATGTGGAGAAAATGTGGAAATCTTTATTAAATTTGAAAATTCATATGCCTTTTGACCCCCAAATTTCCTTCAAATTCCCTTCTAAGAATTAATCCTGAAGGTAGATGCATACAGGTGTGAAATGCTTCATATATAAGGTTATATAACAAAGAATTTGTTGTAGAACCAAAGGATTAGAGACAGCAAGAGGGGACTTTTAAATAAATTGCAATACATTGCACAACCATTAAGAATGAGTTAGTTCTCTATGAACCAATGTAAAACCATCTTCAAGATATTCTGGTTCCTTAAAAAAGTTAAAGTTTAAGGGTCAGGCATGGTGGCTCACACCTGTAATCCCAGCACTTTGAGAGACTGAGACAGGTGGATCACTTAAGGTCAGGAGTTTGAGACCAGTCTGGCCAAAATGGAGAAACCCTATCTCTACCAAAAATATAAAAAATTAACTGGCTGTGGTGTTGCAAGCCTGTAATCCCAGCTACTCAGGAGGCTGAGGTAGGAGAATCGCTTGAACCTGGGAAGCCCAACTTGCAGTGAGCCAAAATCATGCAACTGCACTCTAGCGTGGGTGAAAGAGTGAGACTCCATCTCAAAAAAAAAAAACAAAAAACAAAAAAACCAAAAAGGTCAAGGTTTAGAATTGTGGATATGATGTGCTACCAATTGTATTAAAAATCCATAGATTTAAATGTGTGTGTATATGTAGGTATATATGTATACACATGCATGCACACACACATTTCTTATGCATGGACTATCTCCAGAATAGTACACAAGAAACTGGTAACTGTGGTTCATCCTAGGAAAAGGAACTGGGTGGCTGGGGTGGCAGAAGATTGACTTTTCACTGTACTTTTATAGCCTTAATACCTTATATATAGATTAGTTATACATCCATTATAAAAAAGAAAATATGTATTATTAGATATATATTTTAGATATGTTAGTTATAAATAGATATATATTAGTTATAAATATTAGATATATATTAGTCATAAATCTTGAAAACCTGACATTATTTTCATCCTAGTGCCCAGTTTCTATGTGAATAGAGGGAATTATTTCACTTCTCTTTTGGCTTACTCATTTCTATTAAGTAGTGACATTCCATTACTAATGACAGCATCTCCATGATCTTGACTCATAAAGTATTATCACACAGATGGAGCCTTGTGTTCTGTCATGTACCCTTGGCCAGTCTCAGTTTATAGCAAGCCACAGTCCTAATGTGATGTAAACCTTAAAATTGTTCCATCTCTGCTGTCTAGGACTTCGAAACAAAGCAGAGAAATAGAGGCACACTTTGGTGAATGCTTTATATATCTCTGCTGGTCAATTTTTAGAGCATAACGGTGACAGTTTCCTATAAACCTTATATGGAGGACACATCAGACCTCCAGCTGGTTGCTTGGCTCAGAGAACAGAAGCCAGTCTGCTTATTTCTGAATTGGAAGATTCGCCACAAGAACTGCCAGCTGGAGAAGATTGAAGTCTTACATTGTTAACTCTTCTTTGGTCATGCCCATGCCCTGTTGGTGGCCTGGCTGGTAGAGAGCCACATCCTAACTCTCAAAAGCTTTTAAACCCACAGTCACATTGGCAGGCAGTATACACATGTACAAAGAAATTTTAAGCTGGAAGTAAAGGGTGTTTTCTCCAGTGAAGACAGTTATTCCTGGAGTGAAAGAGGTTGGACACAGAGAGGGTGTCCAGAGGTTGAGCGTTTAAACACTGTTATTATCACAGAACAACCATCAGAGGTATTTGATCTAATCTCCAAGACCCTAAATCAGAACCTGTCACTCAGCTACTGGCCACAGAGGTCAGAGTCATATGGTCTGGCCAGGTGGAGAGAACCACCTGGATAGCATTTTATATTAACAACACCAAGGGGTAGATCTTATTTCCCTTTTGCAGTGGGAACTGCTCTTTTCTTGCACTTCTGGCCCCTGCAGTGGTCTGCTGGGTGTAGTGGGTTTGATGTGATTCACGATTCTCTGAAGACTCAGTGGGGATTCCATAAGGATCACTTCCTATCCTTTTCTTTCAGTCTTACTTCCCTCACTCCTCCCTTGTTCCCTGAGCTCCTTCCTGCTTGGAACATATGGTATCATGGACTTGCCAGCCACAGTCAATACTGTTTCCTCTGCCATGGGTCCCTGCCTTCACCTCTATGCAGGTATCCTACTCATCCTTCAAGCCTAGCACTATGCCTTCTGGGAAGCCTGATTTTAGCTCCGACTCTCATTCAGAAAATTTAAACCCTTTTTTTCTGGTTTCCCATGTTTTCTTCACTCCTGGCTGATGCCATTAACATTTACATTTAGTCCACTGTGTACCAGACATATAGCGTAGCGTCCTCGGTCTTTAGTGGAGTATGAGCTCTGGGAAGGTAGGGACTTCCTAGCACAATTAAGACTTGTTGAATAAACAGACAAGCACAGTCAGTGAGTGTGGCAGGGAGTACATATGTTTTAGTCACTGTCAACAAGTGTTTGTTAAATGCTTACCGAATGCCAAAAGGAACACAGAGACTGAGTAGAGATTTCAACAGGGAGTGACTTTTAAACAGCCCCCTTTGATGAGGAATGATGACACTTGGTGTGGAGGCAGCAGGTAGAATTGAGGTGACACTGGGAGACTGAGCAGAGTATTGATGAGAGGGTGGTGACGGTGACCATGGCTACGGAGGCCAGTGTGCTCACACTCCTTGATTGTAACAGATGGTCAGCTTTGAAATAACAGGCATACCAGCTATGTTTCTCTCTCTTTTTATATTACCTTTTTGGAGACAGTTTTCCCAAATCTTATTACTATATGTGAGACCTCAGCTGCTTGGCATCTTCCTTATACTACTCTTCCTAAGAAAAATGGAATTGATATTCTATATGAGGGTCCATTCTAGGAAAGCCTGTCAGGCCCGGTACAGTTTCTTCAAGGTTTAAGATGTCCAAGAGAGCACTGAGTCTCTGCAAGGAGATCAAGCATGGGCTGGGTGTGCTAAATAAATGGGCATACCTGCAGGGAAAGGGAGGCAGCAAGGGTTCTCCCCTGCTCGTGAAGGTGAGGAGAAGGCCTGTAGGCTGATGGAAATTGTGTTAGTCAGGGACATATAGAGAAAGAGAGAGACTCATTTTAAAGAATTGGCACCTGGAACTATAGAGGCTTGGTAGATCCAAAATTTGCAGGAT